TTCCCCACACGGCGCTCTGCGGTCTGTGGCCGCCGCTGGGCCCGGCCCCGCTGCCGTGTCCTCCGAGGAGGGATCTCGGGAACCCGCGGCCATCTGGCTGCCGCCTCCCTAATCCGCTGCGCCGGGCGAGCTCCCGCGGAGCGCGCTCGCCATCGCGGAAAATCCGCTGTTATTTAACGTGCTGCACCTCTGCAGGAGCTCTTCAGGCTGTCCTTGACCATCGAGTGAACCTAATCCGAAATTTCTTCCAGGTTTTGATAGAAGCTTGTCTCTGAAAGACTGGAAAGGGATAAAGGTCAGAACATTTTATTTGATTAATTACAGCCGTCATTTTTCAGGTCAAATAAATGATAGCTAAAATAATGCAAATAACGCTGGAAATTTAAATTTCAATACTGGGAAATCAATCCCGTGGAGCTGTCTGAGGCTGCTAAGATTCTTAAGTTACAGTTAAAAAAATACATTCTCCATGAGTAAGAACACACAAGAAGTGTTTTTGCACTAGTGACCCTCAAAAGAGTTCTGTTCATAAAGGCTTTTAGTTTAAGTGAGTTTGGAGTTGTGCCTAAGAATGAACTCACATGACTGACTGCACTGTAGGCTGCTCGATAGTGGGCTGTAAACTGCTCATCTGTGGCTAAACACTGCTCTGAGGGAGGCAGGGGCTGTCATTACACGTTCAAGTGGTTATCTCCGTGTCTGAATAAGAGAGAGATTCTCCATTTTCTTCACTTATTTTTCAGGACATAATGACTACTTTGGAGGATAAAGTGCTTGGCGAGAAGCTCCAGTATTATTACAGCAGTAGCGAGGGTGAGGATGAGGACAGTGAGAAGGAAGATAAAGAAGGGGAGAGTGCTGTTCCTGAAAGCACTGGGGAAGTGGAGCTGAGCAGCGACGGCAGCGCGGTCAACACAGGTATCCTCACCTCAAGCTCACTGCTTTGCACGTACTTTATGAGAAGATTGATGTGTTTTTCTAGAATTAATTTATTCCAGTAAAAGTCAGTGTCTCTATGTAAACTTGAGTCAGGGGCTCATCGTTTTCTGGCTATAGTCTAACCTTATTTTTATGTCCAGTTCTTTGTTGTAATGTTTGACTCCCCGTCTGAGAGACTTCAGCATTATATCTAAAAAGCAGTGAAGCTTTGTGCACAAAGCTGATTTGCACAATTTGGTTGATGACACATAAATGTCTTCCCTGTAAGCCACACAGTTGTTAGCCACTAACAGGCAGGTGCTGAACGAGTATGTGAGGAATAGAAAGTGGCCGGGGGCTCCCAGAACAGTGTTCTCTCTGCCACCATCAGGCGCAGTCCGGGTCGCTGGGGATCTCCGCTGCGACCCAGCGGGTGCTTCTGAGCAAAGCCTGGCCTCTGGTGTTTTATGGGTCCTCTAAGAACAGTGAAAAATATTCCACCTGCGTGTCTTTACGTCTTTCACGTAGGACCTGAAAAAGTAACTGCTGGCCCCCAGCAGCAAGGCACAGCAAGGTGCAGCCTGTGTGAGTCCATGCTGTTGTACATCACAGAATGTGCTTCTGCACCAGAGCATGGGCAAAGTTAATTGTACTTTCCCATTATTATTTTTGTTCATGTGCAAAGCCATGCTAACTATAGGGCAATTCTTCAGGGCTGGTGGTTCTATTTCAAGAGCACAGATATTAATCTTTCAAATAATCTTTGAGACAATTATGAGAGTAGCCTAGTTAGATAAAATTTAGTCTTCTTAGGAAAAAAAATAGAAGCTCAAGGACGCGTAAATGACAAATTACTTCTTCCATTTCTTTTTAACATATTGTACACTATAAAAAAAGTTTGTTTGGGACACTATTTTACTGATGACTTGGAATTTTAAATGGTAGGTGTAATGTTACCCTTTTATATGGAATGCCTGCGTATTGCATTTCAGGTCCCAAAGGAGTCATTAATGACTGGCGAAGGTTTAAGCAACTGGAAACTGAACAGCGGCAGGAGCAGCGCAGAGAAATGGAACGGCTCATTAAAAAGTTATCCATGACCTGTAGGTCTCACTTGGATGAAGAGGCTGATAAGCATAAGCAGAAGGAGCTTCAGGAAAAAATCAATGGAAAGGTAGCATGGCCCAAAGGAATTAAAATGCCCCTTAGATGTTTTCCCATTTTCAGTTTCATCATTTATGCACGTGAAGCAGATGGGAATCTGTGTTCTCTGAGTAGATATGTGCTGTAATAAACAGGGACACAGCAGGCGTGCAAGAGATGCATTATACCTGTATTCACCAGATGTTTGTTGGCAAGTTTGATGATTTTGCATTTTAATGGTATTCCAGGAGCGTTGTGTTTGCCTGTGTTAAGAAATAAGCAATTTAGCTGCTATACCAGAGAAGTCCAGATCCTTTTCCTGGTTCCCCTTGTCTGTTCATCAAATAAGTTAACCTCAGGGGGTTAATACGAAGAGTTGTACATACCAACACTGCCTCCCATGCCTACAACAAGAATTTAGGAGTTTTACTGAGTTTGCATTTTTTTAAGCAGATGTTGAGGATTTAGCTCTTTGATCTCCAAAGGTAGAAGGCACTGGAAGTCATGGACAGTTTTAATCAACTGGGCCCTCTCACCAGCACTTAGAGTTCTATTCAGAGAAAATACTAATTAGCAGACAGTGTTTCGTCCTTTCAAATGGTGAAAGTTGTCCACACTGTCATGTACTTCGAGCAATGCAAGTACATTTAACAAAGTCGACAGACACGAAATACATGGAACCCTGTTATGTTTAGTTCTTGGTTGCCACAAAATGTTAACTGAAAAACAATGAAGAAGCGACTGAAAAGCAGCTGGGCTCAGGGCAGGCACAGGATCCCAGTCGGTGCTCATGGCTTAGCAAAAGCACAGAGCCACCATTAACCTGAATTAAGCTGGGAGCGTGGAGCAGCCACGGGTGTTGGTAGTGCAGCTGGTGGAAGGGAGAATACCCAGGGCTGAAATGGCTGTTCCCACTGGACGTTGTCTCTAATTAGATCAGAATGGCTGATAATACAGAGCTGCTTCAGCCTTCCTGGGTTGCACTTTGTTGTTATTAAAGATGAGTGACCCACATTAATCCTTGTGATCCTCAATGCTCATTATATAAGTGACCCATATGGCAATGCCTGTCTTTTTCACCTGTCTTTGACTGTGTTGTTTTAGATGACATTACAGGAGTACAACACGATTCACAACGACGAGGACGATGAGGAGTTCTTGCAGCGGTACCGGCAGCAGCGCATGGAGGAGATGAGGCAGCAGCTGTACAGCGGGCAGCAGTTCAAACAGGTTTTTGAGATCACCAGTGGAGAAGCGTTTTTGGACACAGTTGATAAAGAGCACAAGAGCACACTGATCATGATCCATATTTATGAAGATGACATCCCTGGCACCGAGTCCCTGAACGGCTGCATGATCTGCCTGGCTGCTGAGTATCCAGCAGTGAAGTTCTGCAGAGTGAAGAGCTCTCTCATCGGAGCCAGCGCCCGCTTCACCACCAGCGCCCTGCCAGCTCTGCTCATCTATAAGGCAGGGGAGCTCATTGGCAATTTTGTGCGGATCACTGACCAGCTCGGAGAGGATTTTTTTGCTGTAGACCTGGAGGCTTTTCTGCAGGAGTGTGGTTTGCTTCCAGAAAAAGACCTCGTGCTCCTGACTTCTATACGTAATCCATCTGCATGTTACAGCGAGGACAGTGATCTGGAAATAGACTGAAACACCAGGACCAGTAGGTGTAGTTGTCCTGTCAGATGTTCTTGTGCTAGGGATCGTTCCTTCCTCCGTAGCGTGGGTATCTGTTCTACCCCTTCATGCACTTTGACTTTTACTCGTTAAACATGACATAAGGATTTCCTAACATTATCTTAATTCAATAAAGTACACACTAAACCAGTCTTGCTTTTATGCAGTTCAAATGTATTTTAGTAAACACGAAGTTCTAACACAATTCAGTAAGTTTAGGAAGTCATGTATTGTCAACTCTGTTCTCCAATTCACTTAGACTTTTTGTTTGTTTGTTTGTTTTCTAAAACATTTTTGTTCTCAAATTAGCTGTGTATGGTCAGTCTCCTTACAGGTTTCCTGAAGCAGTCTAATGTGAATACCAGTTAGGACTGAGATGTGGCCACTTACTTGCTAAGACAAGAATTGAGAAGATTCTCTTTATTCTGCAAATAAAGAAGCATTTAAGCATTCAAGACTTATTAACATGGAGCTGAACTGCTGCCAGGTAACAGTGCAAGGTCCCATCTTCCATTCCCCATCTTACAGTCTCCTTGAAGTACCTTCTTGTTCTAATACTCAGCATCAAATATTTTTGCCTTTCTCCCTTGCAAATAACAACAGCCCCTGCCTTCATCCTGAAAATTACTTTGCAGTTGGAGAGGATTCTTCTTCCTTTAAGCTTAGGAGACTTAAATGAGAATTCCTTCTTTCAGTTCCAGCTCTGAATACATTCTTGGGCTTTAAGCTACCCACCCTTAGAGTTCATTGTAGTCACTCCATCAGAAAATGGTCTCTGCCTCTTAAGAAAGACAGTGTTATAAAGAGCTCCAGCATGTATGCTGGAAAGCATCCAGGAGAATTTTGTTGGCAAAATGCAGAATTAGGACTTGAATAACCTCAGGATTTCATCTCTCCCTCTAAAATTACTAAGCCAGTGCTAAAGTTCATTTCTCTGCCTCAGCTGGGTCATCAGATGTATGTTGAATATTAATAATGCCTGGAGCTGGCAGATGACTGGATGGCTTTGTGGGAGAGCGGCCTCGAGCCAGGAGACAGGGTCACCAGTGGAGGGGGGCAGCAGCAGCCCCGTTTCTCCACAGCTGGCTCCCTTCTCCAGAGCTTGGTGTCCCAGTTCTGCCCAGTGTTCAGCACGCCCAAGGCCATCACC